GGCTCAGCCTCTCCTGGCCTCCTCCCAGGGCGCCCAGTGTCTCAGGCAGAGGAGAGAAAGGCGGCGGCTGTGGAACATGAATCAGGATGAGAAACACAGAGGGATGGCGTAATCTTTTGAAGATGGCTGACCCTAAATATGTGCAAATATATCTTCCGAATAGTCGCCAATGGATTTTCCATTATACCTCACAATCAATAACCCCTAACCGTAAGTTATCTTCTCTGCCTCTTCCAAACTGACTGGACAGAGCTGCCTGTCTTCCAGCCAGTGTGAGCTGAACACAGAGGAGGGTGGCTGCATCTGATCCTCACAAACATCCCCCAATCATCTGAATAGGGAACTGCTGTTGTGCTTCCAGATGGGGAAACAGGGATCATGGGGCTGAGGAGGAGCACCTCTCCTGGCCAAGGATATTCCCTTAATGATTGCCTTTCCAAAGTAGCTCAAAGCCACAGGCTTCCACCTTTACCCTGCCATGCATTTCTTTTTAGTTGGATTATGAATTATTTGTAGTTTTTATCCTATTTTGCAAGATCCTTGAGGGTAAAGAACAGCTTGGAGAAGTTCGTCCTAGTTTTCTTTGAAACTTCTTAGCATTAAGACCTGTAGCAGAACAACTTGCTCATATTAGTTGTCATAACCATTAGGAAAGGAGCAAAGTGATCATATTTTAGGAGCTTCATTTTATAAGACTTCCTTACTTAACACCAGATAAACAGGTAACTTTGCCTGAATTGGCCTCATTCATTAAATCTACACATAACATGAAATAGATAAAGCAGAAATAAAATTGAGTAACTTAGAGGCTAGAAAATGATCTATTTGACTTTTAAAAGCAAAGTCTAGAGATTGCTTTTTGCCTACTGACACACCATCAAGTGACATCAAAGTCCACTGCACAAAACAGAAAAGGACTGTCACCCATGGAGCATGCTGTCCCTTTAATGCAAGCAGCTTTGTTCTGCCTGCTTTAAATATCACACTTCCAAATTTCCTGAATAAAGTGTTTCACAAGTAAATATGTAGTAAAATCCCTGTTATTGAACTTTGGTTCACAGTTCTTCAGGAGATTCTTGCTTTATCCTTTGTTTTGTTTTTATTTTTTTGCTTTTTTGGGTTTCTTTTGGTACCGGGAATCAAACTCACGACTTCAGGCTTGCCAGACAAGCACTCACACCGCTGAGCTATACCCCCGGCTTATCCTTTATTTTGGATTACCTCCTCAGCAAAGATACATTATTCTCTGTCTTCCCATCTCCTTTCCCAGCCTGTAGGCTCCAGATTAGGTATGAGGTATTTTATTCAAGGGAATGAAAAATAAAGTTGACTTCATGTCATCTGATTAATCTTACGCCCACTGCTGTGTTTTGCTCTCATGTCCCCAAAGCCGCATGTGTGGCAAGGCGGGGCCTTTGGGAAATGATTGGGTCTTGGGACTCTGCAGTCATCACTGGATTCATCCAGTGAACATGGAGCTGAACATGCTGTTAGTGGGGTCAAGTTGGCCCTGGCAGGTCACTGGGACGTGTCTTGCAAGGGTGTCTCTACCTCCCAGATTCCTTGCTTGTGCCTCTGCTTCCTGACTGCTCTGAAGCGGTCAGCTTTCTTCTGCTGCACCTTTCCACTCTTTCCGCTTGGATCCAGCTGACCATGGACTGAACCCACTAACACTGGGAGGCACGCTAAGCCTCTCCTCCTTTATGTTGAATGGATGGAGAATGACTGAAGATGCACACTAAGCATCCTGCCCTGAGGGCCGTGACTCAAATGCGGGTGTGCTCCCATTAAACCACATCGGAGGTACCCTTACAGTGAGCGAAACTGGAAAGAGTTTCAGCTACCTTGGAAATTGGTTGTAGCCAATAAGCAGCATTTTGGGAACCGTAAAGTTATGCCTTATGCTTTCAAAGATTCACTGATTGTTCCATAGGCTCAAAATGGCTATTTCACCCAGTCACAGTGATGATATCCCACTATTGGTCTATCGATAACATTCCCTTTAGCACTTCAAATCTGCTGGTTCTCACTTCAGTCCTCTCAAATTTGAAGTAGCATGGATCACACACATTAGACCACTGGTGCTATAATTTAAATTTAAAACTGGGAGACAACCCTGTAGATGTTCCTGAGTGAAGTTTTGTAACACTGAGTATTTCTGTCATTCAGCAAAATGTGTGGTATTAGAAGGTATAAAGCCTTGGAATATTACCCATTTTGCCATTTAAATGAAGATATGTTTAGAAGTATTGCATTATTAACAAGGCTTGCTTTGAGTGAAATTCTTGCACTGACAAGTCTTGCTTTGGTGAAGCAAGATTCTTAGCATCATGCACTCCTAGGTGAGAATGCCTGATGGGTTTGGCCGGAAGCGCTGTCCAGAGTGTGTGGCTGATCCCACTCCTGCGCTGCAAGGGACTGGGTCCTGTCTCCATCCCACAGTCTCTCCCCCAGATGATATGAGGTTGTAACGTGTGATGTAAACTGTGAAAACTGCTTTGATTTCTAAAAACAGGACATTTTAGTCCTACAAATATCCATAAATCAAACCCCAAGTCAGTATCCTAGCAATTACATTAATTGAATATTGACCTTTAAATCAAATCCTTTTACTGATTCTACCCATCTCATTTATAACAGAGCTCTTCCTGATGTCACTTTGTCTTGATTTGAAGGAAATGTTACCTTACAAATTATTATTTGTGCTCATGTTACTTTCTATACTTACAAAAAGCAATTTCTTCTTTAAGTTAATTTTGTTTTTAAAAAATATGGAGCCCTCCCCTCCATCAGACCTTTATGCCTCACTGTTTCTCTGGAGTGCTGTCTTTACAAACTTCTTCACATCACCACTGGGAGTGCTGCCTTTGTCTGTTATGAAGACTGTCTCATTCTTTCCCTGTGTAATTGCTGTATTTCTTAGGGCAAGCTATATTCAATCCAGAATGGCAGGCTGCATCATATTGGAGGGATGCGTGGTGACACACAGGCTGTAAATATAGTGGTCAAAATATAAGTGAAATGTTTGCTTTTCAAAATCCTTCCATTCTCTTGGAACGCACTTATCCCATTGTTCTTGCCACTTTCCGAAGCAGTTCTGCAAGTCCTGTTTTGGGAATGTCTTTCCAGGTGTGATCAAAACTCCAAGGAATGCTCCTGCCAAATGCTATCCTACGGGAAGCAGGCTCATAACAACATTGCAGTGTGTCTTCATTGGAATTTGGCCCCATGTGACTGCTGGCCTTTCCCCAATATCAAAATGATCGTGTAGGGTAAATGTGTGACTCGATCCGTACATCAGGCAGCAACAACAGCTTTGGAAAGTGGCCAGAAGGATCAGCTAAGTGTGCTGCAAGCAAGGGGAAGCATTCTGAGGAGAATTAAAGCCAATTTGTTTGTTATACTAATACATGAAAAATAATTCACCACTTTTTTTCATACCTGGTACCTTGAGAACTATAAGACAGAACCAACCTGTCCATGTTCTTCTTCCTGAAAAATTTTGTAATGTTGAATATTCCTGCCATGCAGTGATATGTGTGACATTAAAACACACATCTAAAGATTATTACTTAGCTTGGCATTTAAATAACATGATTCAATAATGCTGCAAAAGCTCTTATAAACCTTACTTTATTTAGATGTAATTCTTCCACTAAACAGATCAACCTTGGTCAAGTGTGAGTCATTTCATTCTGTGTTTCTCTTTTTTTTAATGTGTGATCTCAGTTGTTGGAGATAAATTTCCTATTTCTTCTTCTAACTTAGAAATACCTGGTACCTAACATACATGCACATATTTTGGGAAAAAAATTTCAAATTTCTGAATTTTTCCTTAAGTATATGTCTTTCTTTGGTTGTTTCAGAATTTTCTAATATCCCTGCCTCATTTTTTTTATCCCTAAGGACACTTTATCATCTCCTATCAAATCAATTTCTCAGTAGGCTATTGCAATGATTAAGTTTTTATTTCCTTTCTTCCACTGTGTTCATCTATTTATGAGGCGTGTTCTTTTTTTTTTTTACCTCTTTTCCAAGTTCAGTATCTATTTTTTGCTTTATTTTAGTTGTCCTTGTACAGGTGAATGCCAATGTCTTTATTTCCATTCAAAATTAATTAATTCTGCTTCCCTTTTACAGTATAACAAATAACAGCAGCTGGAAGAAGAGAAGACATTTCAGAAAACATGAGTTGTAAAGCACAGCATACGAGACTCATATCTGAGTTTTTTAACTGTGGATTTACCACTGCACTGGGTATGAGCTAGATTAATGATCGAATTTTGATTTCCAATATTTTCCTACCAATTTCTATCTAACTTCTAAAGTTGATTTATGAATAAGTAGTTGTAACTTTAGTTATTCAGAACGAATTCTCTAAGTCACAGCCATGTACATCAGTACCAAATGACTCAGAGTCAACACTGATGAAGAGGCATCCAACAGCCCTTCTGTTAAAGACCTCTTAATCTTCAGATCAGAGAGCGACATTTGTTAGCCTTCGTTTTAGGGGCTGTTCTTTGAACGTCAGTTTGGGGATTTGGTAAGAGAAAACTTGAAGGGTCTCTGTCCTGTCGGTTCACCTGGCTTAGAGGACAAAAACTGCTCTTATCCTAGGTTGCGTTAATTTTTTGATGTTACATATTTATATAGATGACTGTTCACAAATTTACACAGTAAGGCAAAATACAACCATTTAAGTCAAACCTTAGTGGAAAATATGCAACTCTTCAGAGATCCCAATTTTAAAGATTTTTAATACAAAAGCACAAAACACTCTATTACTATAAAGAATCATCTGGAAATGACATCAGCAAAATGACAGAGGAGCTCGTTCCAAACACCTCTCTCCTGAAAGAAATATCCAAAAACAAGCAGAAATTGTCACAGACCACTTTATAGAGCTCTGGAAATTGACTCAAGGTTTGTAATAATCAGATAGATGAAAGATTTAGAAATAAGCAATTAAAAAATGATAGGAAAGTGTTAGAGCATTTTCATTTGTTTGTGTATATATTTTAGCCCAAATCAGGTGTGAGAAAGTGGAAAATATGTAGGGGTCTTTAGTAAATAATGTCTTTGCTTACTTGACCCTTCACAGATCCTGTAGAAGGCTTCATGATCATAGGTGGTGTTCTCAGGGCCCTGGGCTTCCGGTCCCTAGCTTTTGACGGGACCTAGCAGAACCTTATTTAGTAACTGTGTTGGTGGACGAGTTCTCTGTAGGTGCGGAATGTCTCACACAGTGCTCCGGTTTCCTAACTGAGAAAGAGTGCAGGCAGGAAAGCAGAGTGGTTCCAGACGTTTTAAGGTACAAAAGCAACACATTATTGTTGACACAAAAGATAGACAAATAAAGTCTGAGAAGAAAAGCTAAGGAAGGAATTACTTCAGGAAGTTGGGGAACTCAGAACACTGGTCTACTGAGTAATGAAGAAATTCACCCACATGCCCAGGTAAAGCCCAGGCTTAGACAGATGTGAGAAAAATTTAAACCCTCACTTTGTGGTGATCTCAAGGATCAGGGCAAACCTGGCTGCATATTCACGATCCCCAGCACATGCGCAGACAGGGGGCAGCGCTCTTGGCAGTTTAGTTTGACTGTGCAACTCATGTTGTTCAGAAAAGTATCTGTCAGACTCTGCCTGGACACAGACCAACAGACAGAATCCTCAGTGATTGCACAGGATAAATAATACATCCTCTGCAGAAACGATTGGAGCAAGTTATGGACTATTACAACTTTCAATTTATTTTAAAGGAAAAAATAGCAGAGGAAAAATTACTATCATAATTACCACATTATAATACTTATAAATATTTATTTTCCAGTTTTTAAACATGCAGTTTTTAAACATGCTTGATTTCAACAGCAGTAGCAACATCAAAATCATAAGATGTGTACAGAGGCAGACATGTAGGACCTACCTATTCACAGGGACAAAATAGGGCCATGTGTCTTGCCTGAGGGAGCCCAAGCAGGGGACTTGCTAGACAAAGACTTAACCCGGACTTAAATATGCTCAGAGGCTCAGGAGTGAAGTCAGCAGGATGGTGATGAGGCAGGTCCAGGAGAAGGTCTCGAATGGAAACTGGGAACTCCCTGGGGCAAGCAGCAGATGTGCAGCAATATACACACCGAAGCAGGTTTCTAGAGCTCTAGAAGTAGGTTAGAGATATTTAGTAACCAAAAGAACTCAAAAAAGAAAAGGAAAAAGACACAGTCTAGGCGGTGAACTATTCAGGGCGTATTTTCCCATCTCTCCACAGCACACCTGGTATGGGAGGGAGGAGGTCGCCCCACTGCCCTGCCCTCCTTCAGAATGGGACACAAAGGCAAAGCTTTCCCCTTTGCCGCAGCACTCAGCATGGGCTGTTGTTCTCACAGACGCTGGTTTCTGTCTTTCTGACCCCAGGAGCTGACTAGAGCCGTGGCACGGGTTCCAGGGCACAGGTTGGCGGCCACTGAAGGGTATGGCTGGCGCTGTAGCCCACGGAAGCTCAGAGCACCTGAAAACTTGTGCATGGTCAGGGGCAAGAAACTCAGGCTGGAGAACATAGCAAACGTGTGAGGCCCCGAAGAAAACAAGTGGTGAGATATATGGGAAATTAAGGTGTTTAAAATAATCCAAGTAAGGAGTGGAAGTGCAGCTCAATGATAAAGCACTTACTAAGAATGCACAAGGCCCTGGGTTCCGTCACAGAGGCTGGGAACATTTATTTTTCTTTTCTGCTCACTTGGCAGCACCTGTATTAAAACTGAAATAATACAGAAAAGATCAACTTTGTGATAAAAATGGAAAGATAGGAGACCAGCATTGTGCCTGTACGAGGACGACATGCAAATTCATAATCCAGTCCATAGTTTTATGTTGATGGCAAAGGAATCCTGAGAGTGCTGACCCTAAGTGGCCCTTCTGAGGGTGAATCTGTGAATGTGACTCTGGGCTACTTCCAGCACTCCAGTTCCCCAAGGAACACGGAGAACCCTGCCATGCTGGTAGGGAAACTGGAGGCGAAACAATAATCCCAGGTGCAGGTGGAAAATTGAAACATTTTGATGAACAAAATTGAAAAGTACATGGTCAGCTTATGTGCCTTGGAAATCCTCAGTAAACATCACTGTTTCCTCACCAATTCCCCTTAAGAAAAATGAGTAGAAAAATAGCCCCATATGTGAAGCGATTAGGACACACACACATACACACACACACTCAGACACACACACACACACATACACACACACACACATACTCATGAAACCTAGCCAAGACACAAACCTGATAAAGACAATCAAATTAAAGACAAAAAACAAAAACCCACCAACCAAACAGAAAAAGGGCCTTCAGCTTCCATTCCAGGCTAAGGAATGAAGAACTTCATTCTGAACAGAGTCAGTCTTCAAAGACCAAGAGACGTTGCTCTTTTTCTAATGTTCAAATCTGGGAAAAATTATCACATTGGAAGCATGGTGCATTCTAGCCAATAACTTGAATCTGGAGACATAAGCCCTACAGCGTGGCAGCTAACATCAGTTTTTCCGGATCATTCTAATGATTTTTAGCTCTCTGTTGTGAGCAATATAAACTCATTCAACTGTTTTGGCTGCAAATTCAGTGAGAGGGAAGTGGATGACAATATTTACAGAGGATATGCGTGTCATGTGGCGGCCACTCATTCAGGGAAGATGGGTAGCAAGGTAGCAAAGTTAGGATCTGAATCCTGATGGTCTCCTTCCACACCTTGGCTCGAGATTAGTGATTTGCAAATTTGAAGCAGCCGCATACTCCCCTGGGGGACAGTGCACGTCACCTGTGACCCAGGAGGTGGGACTTGAGACCAGAGAGCCGGCATTTCTCCTATGTTCCCAAGTGATGCATCTGTCCTGATGATCAGGCCAGGAGGTCAGAGGAGCAGATTCGGAGTTTATGCATCTATCACGGTGGCCTAAACCAGAGGGGAGTTCATCAGAGGACGTCGCCCCCATCATGCTCCCGCTGTCACAGTGGACACCGGTGTGAGCCACGACGCTGACAGGCCTGTCCTCAAGAGCAGCGTCACACCAGCCTCCTCCTGTGACGTCAGTCTGTCAGCGCCCACTCTGCCTGGAGAGATGACTTCCGGCACGCCCTCCTCCACGCGGCCTGGTGCCCGATCCAGAAGCCGAGACAGATGCAGTGTCTTGCCTCACCTCCCATCCTTGCTCAGGAAGAGCAGCTCAAAGCAGGTAGATGCCCAGCGGAGCATGGGATGCCTGGCAGTGTTTACGATCAGCTCTATGAAATGAGGGTTTCAGACGCTGGAAAGACCAAAGAACAACAGAAGTCCAAGGCTATCGACTACTCGTCCAAGATGTAGTAAAGCACTGTAATAATTGTTCACAGTTTTTTTTCAAAAATTGTGATCCAGAACCTTAAGATACTGGGAATACAACAGCATAATATATAACTTTGCTTTTACATCCCTGCTAATAAGCAAAGTAAGTCTGCACGTACTTGATTGGTCCACTTCACACGGGGGCTGGCCAGGCAGCAAGCAGGGAGGCCGGGCTTCTGGTTCTAATGCCCCATGAACTCTGGTCCTCACCAGGAACCTTTGTCACTGTCTCTGTTGGTCCGTGTTAAAGCCGATCAGAGATAGCTTTCCCAAAACTCAGTTAGACTTAGTTGGGGAGAGAAGAGCCCTGCAACAGGAAGACGGGTGCCATGGCAAAGTATGGATGTACAGAAGGATGTCTGAGAGAGAGGAAGGTATGAAAAACAAAACTGAGCTTCATGTAAGATATTTTGCAACAATACTTCTTAGCCACAAAGATTCACAACCAGGACTCTGACTTTGAACCGAAGCTGCTGGTCGATGTTCTTGTAGAAATACCTTCTGTGGAAGCTCATGGGGCCCTTTGGGCAAGGTGGTGGTTCCACCAGCGTCTTCCACGCAGATTTTGTTATCACAATGGACTCATCAGATCCCCTCCCAGCTTTCTTAGTACATTTTTGGTTCCAGCCTGACAAACAAAACTGCCTCCACTTTGACTCTGATCATTTCTGAGTCTCTGCCAGGTGTTAGTGGGCTGCTTATGAAGGACAGAAATTTACTCCCTCACTTCTGGAAGCTGAGCATTCCCAATCCGTGTACAGGTTCTATTTGCAGCGGCAGTTGGAGTGTCCTAGACAGCACCTGCATTCTATCCTCATCTGGGGAAATGCCTTGAGGCCTTCTCTCTGAGGGGAAATAACTGTCAAGAGGTCTGCACCCTCGGAACCCACTGTATTCCAGAGGGCTCCAAAGACCAGCATATGGACAGCTAAGATCTCAGCAGATGAAGTTTAGGGGTCACACACATTCAGATCGTAGCAGTCCTTGTGTGCCTATGTACTACATATTTAGTGAAAACACATATTGTTCATTTCAGTTATGTCTAAGAAGTATGAATCTATTCTAAGGCATTTCACACGCAATGATCCTGTGCACCCAGTCTACTCATTTGAGGTATTTTATTAAACGTGAATCTCTCAGTGTTAATTGTAAGAGAAAAAAATTACTGTTAGTGAATTGTTAATTGTACACATTTATGGGGTTCAGCATGATAACTCCATGGATGCATCCAATGTGTAATGATCACATCAAAATAATGAACATTTCCATCTCTTTAAACATTTTATAAAAACTTGATTAACGCATAATAATTATAGATATTGATGGAGTAGAGTGAGATATTTATAAACATGTATGCAATATGTACTGGTGAAAGCACGGTAATAAACAGTAAGTGAAAATTTAATGGAAGGAATTGGATAATTTATGAAATAATTGAGTAATTTCTAACAATTCAGCCCAGTCCCAGAGAATACAGGATCCAAGTGAGGTGAGGCTGAGGTCTTTTTTGTTTTGTTTTGTTTTGTTTTATTTTGTTTGTGGTGTTTTGGGTACAGGAATCAAACTCAGAACCAGACATTTGCCAGGCAGGTGCTGTGCCCCTGAGCTAAATCCCAGGCCTAAGCTCCAGATTTTTAAGGGAACCCTTGTCTGAATGAAATTGAAATTTTCCCCACTTCATTTGGCACTATGTTTCTTATTGCTCAAGCTGATATTGCTTCTTTTTGCTTTTCTAAATACTGAACTCACTGAGCTGGACCCCCAGCCTGTTTATTTAGTATTTATTATGTTTACTTTGAGACGAAGTCCTTCTGAATTGGCACATTTGGACCTGCTTTACTGCTGTCCTCCTGATAAACGACTCTCTGCCACCCTCAAGTTAGCATTAGCTGAGATTACAGAGTTGCACCATCACACCCAGCCGAGTTTACTCAAGATTTAAAGGCAAAGGGCAGTAACCCCTATTGGTCCAGTTTGCCCAAGCCAGAGGAAAAGCAGGATGAAGTCGGCCATTCCCAGACTGCACAGGACACTGAAGGACCGCTCTTCCTAGGACAGCCTGGGCCTGTGAACAGGACAGTGTGGGGCAGGTTGGTAAGAACACAAGAACAATCTGTTTGCTTTCACATGCAGAAAAGACTCCCAAAACTTATCCCTGAAGATGCCTTTGCTTCAGACCTACGTGGCTTCAGAAGGAAAACTGGGTGTACAATTCCAGTTCACCCAGCTCACAGTGCTCTGAACTTCTGACTGCATTACCTGTTCTATTAGGCTTCTAATTTGCCTGCTATTCCATTAAATTTACTTTGCCTTGAATATTAAATGGAAATAATTGGATGAATTCATTCTCAAAAGATAATAGAATGATAAACATAAGAATTCTTATGCAAAATATTTAGCCAAATCATAAAATGATGCACCAAAGCCATACACTATTATAACCCTCATCTCAAATTCATAATAGAAGTACCTATACTCAGGAATGCATATTAGAAGCAGCTATCACTAGGAATGCAGTTTTTATTTGTGATTCTGAAGAAAGTTCTTTAGTGGGGAAAGTCATTATTGCTTAATTTTCTTATTTGTTATGTGCCTGAATCCAACACAGCAGGAAAAAAGACTCAGATTTTAATTGCTTCAAAGCAGTCATCCCAGTTGAGGTACTCCTAGCATTGTTTTACCTTTGAGGGTTTTCATGTTTGTCAGGGGTGCTGGGAACTCAGGGCAGATTCAGATGCTATGCTAACAAAAGCAGAATATCTAGTAGCATTTTTTATTAAGTCTGGAATTTATTTAGCTTGCAGGTGATTTCAATAGATAATCAGTAAGAATTTATTCATTGCAACCTAAGCTCAAAGAATAAGTAAAGAATATATGTTGTAGATGCGGTAGAAGATGAGGAAAACCAAATACTTGACCATCTATTCATGGTTTGACATTATCTTATGCAGACTTTTTCAAGATTACACTATTAATTTGACGTATTTTCCCCTTTAATTTTCTTATGGGTAAGAGAACAATGGGAATGCACTAAGACTCTTGACTGTTAGATCCCTCATAGATTAGAAACAAAGAGGTCTTTTAACTAAGTGATAAATTACAGTAGAATCTGTCTGTGCACCCTTACCTTTGCCTCATTTGAATTTAGAATAGTAGACTTTCAAATACAAATCTTGATTGTGTGATAACAGCTCCCTGTCAGCAGAGCTCCAGAGCAGTATAAATAACAGGATCAAGTCAGAAGAAGAAAGCTGCAGGCATGTGTGCTTGTGCCCTTGGCCAAGGGCTCTGCGTGGGGAGGGGACCCAGGAAGTGAAGACCCCTTCATGCGTGTGCACATGTGTGCACGTTGTGTTTGTACCTGAGCTGAAATGGTATTTGTTATGATTTGGATCTAAATATCCCCAGAAGTCTCAGGAGTGTGGCAGCTGGCAGCTCCCGAGCACACTGTACTCCTTAGTGATGAGTTCAGAGCTGGTGTGCTGTGAGGAGCTGGTCCTGGTGGAGGAGGTCACCGGGTGACAGATGGAAGGATGCGTTCTGTCCCCAGCTCTGCCTTTTCTGTCCACTTCCTGGCCGCCATGGGTTGAGCACCTTTCCCTCCTCCACACCCCTCGTCCATCTTGCTTCTGCCTCTGAGCCGGCTGAGCACGGACTGAAACCGTGAGCCAACGTAAACCTCTCCTCCTTGAAGTGTGGTTGTCACGTGATTTGTCTCCAGGATGGGAATGTGACAGACAGTATCCCAGCTTGAATCCCCGAGGAACAGGGCCAAGGTGAGCTCCTGGGGAGCAGGAGGAGACATCACCCTGCCCACCTCAGTGAGGGATCATTTTCCACGGCAAGGTCCCTTGAAACATCAAGGAGGACCCAGGGTGTGAGCTCCGCTTAAGCAACTTGGAAGCAAGTGCCTAGTTTAGGAAGAAGTTTCAGGAGCTCACCTGGTATATTTCTGGCTTCGGACAATGGAGTAACTCCAAAACGTCATCTAAACTAGGTCTCTTACTTTAGAACCATCTGTTTTCTCAATGACTCAGACTACGGTTTGTCAAGGGCCCATATAAATGAAGGTCACCAAAGATAGGAAGCCAGGGTCAGGAAGGACTCAAAAGGCAAGTGCTAAATTGATGTACTCTATTAGTTATGTATTAGAGCTGGAGATTTACAGGGAAAGTGAAAGCATCAGTTGTGTGAGCCTTCTCATGACATCCCTCACACAACTCTTCCCCACTGTGTTTGATTAATGGTGAAACCGTGCCCTGCTCCATCAGAGCTGGAGCCCTGGAGGACACGTGGGCTGCCGCTCCCCTCCTAATCCTTCAGACCCACCTGCCTCAGCTCTACATCCTTCAGGCTTCAGTGTTTTGTTTGCTCCTTTCTCTCAATTGTTACAGTAAGAACTCAACCTGGGCCGATGCTGCAGAGTCACTGGATTCCCTGAGAATTTGGGTTCTCTTGAACACGTGCTTTCCATTTTGTTTAGGTGAGATGTGAGATGTCAGCTACTAGAGTGGAAGCCAGTGTGAGTTCGTATATCTGAGGCAGTGAGGATGTGTTTTCCGTGGGATAAGGACACAGGGGAGGCTATGGATTGAAGTGCACTGCACAGAAGATCCGTGCATTGAAGTCCTAGC